TCAACGGCTCCAGGATGCAGAGAAAGCAGCAAAGGAGGCAGAGGCAGAGAGGAAGCTTGAGGAGAAGAAAGCAGCGGAAGAAGCGCAAAGACTTGAGGAAGAACAGAAAGCAAAGCTTGTAGAGGAGATGAAGGAACAAAAGAAGGCGTTGGAGGAGAAAATTCAACAGCTGCAGTCGAAAGCAAATAATGCACCAAAGGAGGTAGAGGCAGCGAAGAAGAAAGCAGCAGAAGAAGCTCACAGACTTAGGGAGGAGGAAAAGGAAGCACGACTCCATCCAAAGCATTGGATTCCTGAGGACATTGATGTTGATACTAGCGATGAGGAAGAGAATGCAAAGAAAGGTGTTTTTCAGGACACAAAGGCACTCATCGATGAGATTCCCGATCTACTCCCGAATGATCTCGCAGGGATGGACAAGGATGTGGCTATTGAAAGGCTGTTGGAGGCAGGGTCATTTCTCAACCCTCCAGGGACCCTCCATGGTGTTTAATTTTTAAATAAGTCACATGTACATTGACATCCGATTATGGTACAAGTCACCTTCACACAGATTCGTAGACTGTCAGGCACAGCGAGCACTTCGACATGAGCTAAAGAAACAGAAGCGAGAATTGTCTGCTGAAAGGGAAGCAAAAAGGGCCAAGAGGGCACCACGAGGAATGGGTCAGGCAAAGGGCAGAGGCAAAGGCAAAGGAAGGGGGAAGAACGTAGACAACAAAGAGGCAAAGGAACAGGAGGAAGCTCCTGAGATTGAGTTGTCTGATGGCAATGGGGGGCCTGGTGAGACATACTCAATGGAGGCTGCCTTGGAAAAGACAGACGCAAACATGAAGGCTGAGAGGGAGAAGGAAGAGGCAGCCGGAGAACCATCAGCAAAGAGAAGGAAGCGGCAACTCCGGCAAACGCCGGATATCCAGGATGATGAATCAAAAGAGAAGCTGGAGCCTGCTCCATCAAGTGGATCAGTGGCACCGGTAGAAGAGATGCGCGCAAACAATGAGAGCAAGAGCAAGACATCTTCGAAAGACCATGATCAGGAGAACAAAAACACTCTAAACTCTAAACATCCACCGATCAGCTATATAAACGTGAACCCTGATTTGTTCTTTTTCATCCAGGATGCCCGGAAGAAGAAAGCACAACAATCTCGGGAGGTGCATTGTCTTCTTCCCTCTTCGATCTATGATTGAGTTTCAAATGTCTTTTTTGGGCACTGTCAGCCAGGACCTAAAGAAAAAGAACCTTGTCTTGCTGAAGCAGTGGGTTGCCTTGACTGGCCACATCCCGGAACCACCCAGTGACAAATCGTACAGCCCTTAAGGAGGTAGCTTTTCATCTCTAGAGTGCACTTTCTCAGAGCTCTTGAGGTCCTGGACGGTGCCACACCCTCCAGTTGTGGATGGTGAAAATCCTATTCTGCCAATCATGGTGTTGTCCGGCCCTTGCAGTGGGGTACATCCTCGGACTCGCATTCCGCCCACCCTTGTCAGGCTGACAGGAAGCTTCTATGTGACCGGCGTGCCCGCAGACCGCATCAAGGCTGTGAACGAAGTAGCCAACTGTGCGAAGGAGGTCAAGGAGATTGGTGGTTTTGTTGGAAGGTCCTTGGGATTAAAAATTCTGATTGGTAGGAGAACTCCTCTCGTGGCATTACCATCACTTGGGGCACTCATGGAGGGATTCCACAAGCGCCATGCCCTTATAGAACTACAAGTTTGATGCAACTCAAGACCCAAAAGATTGCTCAGGTTTAAGGTGGCACAGTTCCTGGCTGGATGGCTGAAGCTACCCTCCAACAGCCGGCCCTAGATGGAGATTTGCACCATGAATTTCACTTCATGGTCACGGGGGTTATCACTGGACCTGGAATATGAAAAAACAAAACAATTGCACACAAAGCGAGTGCGTTGTTGCATGGGCCAGTGATAGCTGATTTTGGGGCTATGGGTGTGACACACACACACACCCCTGACGTGATGTTTCAATCTAGTATCGTGTGCTTTCACATAGATCGACATAAGTGGAAAAGAAAGCAGTGTGGAATTGTTTATTTGACGTCTGATATGTCTGCATCTCTTAAATGCAATATCGTCTAAATCTGATTGATTGTTCTATATGGAGTCAGGCTCAACAAACCATCGACCTAGCCTCACGAGCTGCCTTGTACTTTTCGAGGTGTCATGCCTCGAAATCACAGGGAGCAATGGAGGACAAGCCCGTTAGCCTTGACAGCTTGTGCAGCGGCCATGGCAATTGTGTTGGGGGCACCGAAGGAACTGCCATGTCCTTATATAATATCTCAGTCCCAACCTTCATGAAGGGCATATCTTGTATTCCGTTCAGTGCCAAGGCTGGACCTGTGTGACCTTGTGTGCCATTCTGCATATAAGTGCAAGCTGGGCAGAGCTAGGGCCCAAGATTGAGATAGTTGTATGTAAGAGACTTCATGTTTGGGAGTGGCCAAGGACCTAACCAACTATGACGTGTTTGGTGGCCAGGTTCCATTCAGAATGCCTTCAGTGTGGAGCTCAATTAAGAGTTATATCTAGAAAACATGTAGATTCCAGATGATTCCAGAACTTGATTTTGTCAGTTAGGTGCTGCCGGCCATAACACGCCAAGCCCTCAAAGAACCATGGGCTGTCTTTTTTAAACCCATAATACCTGGATTGTTAGCTGAGGGACACGTTCGATATCGCCACCCGCGGCTCCCAAAACGACATCACAACCCTGTTGGGACTCCTAGATACCTGCAACTCATGTCCACCTTTCAATCGAAACGACCCAGGACCGGTCTATGCCATGCCATATTGGGGACTCTGCGGATCAAAGAAGATGGGTTATTGAGCTTGGGACCTCCTTGCTCATCTTTTGTGTTTATCAATTCAGCTACCAGTGGCCGAACACGCCGTCAACCCCTTGGCTATGAGCACCGGCCATATGTCGAGATGGCTAGCATGAGCCTTGCTTGTGATATTTATTTTATATTCATTCATGCATCCAGTACTGTGCTGTATGAGTTGCAACTGCCCCTTTTACACATGCATGGCCTTCAGTATTCTTTGCACATCCCAGGATTTGCAGTCGGGCAATATGGCTAGCCATACTTGCTACGGTTAGGGGGTGCTACGTGAGCCTGGAACAGCCAGCAGGGTCTTGTATGAAGTGGTTCCCAGATCTGATCAGGGTCAAAGAGAGGATGAACAGGTTTATTAAAGCTGACCTTTGGAAAGAGCAGTTCATGTGCAGGGCTAAGTGAATGGTGAACGATGGTTTGGTTTCTTGATCTCACTAATGGGCACTTGTGGGAACTCTTGATCTGGCCCCAGAAAGGTGGATGGCGACTTGGGGTTCACCAACTCCAAAACCAACACGTTTGTATGGCACGGCGTCACCAACTCAGCCGTGATTGGGGCACCAGGCAAGGATCGATGTGTATGCACACAGCCATTGACCTGGCCCAGGCCGTGGTTTCCCCTGATGTTCCGCAAGTTGACCAAAGAGCAACGCAAGAAACTTGGCAAGGGCAAGGTGGTGACCATCAGAAGGAAAAAATCTGATGGATCTTGGACAGTGTGGGCGTCCTAGACTTCCACCATTTACAGTTTGAATCATATCAAAATAAACAGGTACTTCTAGATTGCTGTTTCTCTGCACTGAGTTCGGGTGGGCCAGACCTAAAGGGCACCCAAGTGTACCCGAGAGCTTTCGGAGCCCGAGTCTGCCAGCTGCATGCCCAAACAATGGACTGCCTCCGTGTACATGATTGCATGTTTGTTCTGGACTCTGCAAATCAGTGTTCATATATTCCATATGTACCTGTATATGCAGGATGCACGGGGCTGTCAGCTACATGCACGGGTAAAGCTGGCATGGAACGACTTTAAACAGAACAAGGCAAAGATTGTCGGCGACTCAAAGATTTGACACTGTATGCCACCCCATCCCCTTCGCCACACCTCAACCTGAATCACTCCAGGTGATGGATCGTGGAGCCTGGAGCAAGGCTGGACTTCCTCCAATCAGGAAGTTCATCAAGAAAGTTAAATCGAACCCAAAGGAGGTGCACTTCTCACCTTTTTAGGGGTCCACTTTGGAGGCCTCCCAGTGCCTTTGGTGACTTTGGTACCAAATCTGTCTAATTGTGGGGAACACTGGTGAACTTTGTGTCTTTTCTGATAGGGAGGCTTCTTGAGACGGCAATTCAGGCTTTTAGAGCACGCCTGGTAGCAAGCTGAGTTACCTCAATCATGAAATGTTGTTGGTTTTCCAGCGACCATCAGGAGGTCTCAAAACCAGTGACCGTGAACTACCGTGAAATGACCGTGAAATCGCCGTGAACGTCGAAGTTTTACCGTGAACGTCGAAGTTTTACCGTGAAATTGGACCTATCAAAAAAAACATCAGTTTCAAACAATAAATGAAAAAAATGTCTTGTGGCTCCATTTGTTGCGGTCACTTTGCACCATTTAGCCTTGGTCTGGGAGGCTTTTCTCTCAGCAAAAGCACAAAAAGCATATGTAGAAAAGGCAGCTCTGATCTTCTCAGTTGGATGTGTACTATAGACAGTGAAATTCTTGAGACAACCAATTCCAGTGCGGGCATTTTCATATCTATTGCAGCCATTTTGTTTGGGCCTTGGGGAAGTAGGCCATCATTTTCCTTAGGTTGGCTAGATCAACATGGATCATGAGGCTGAGCTCAAACGTTTGGTCGAGAAAGGCAAGAAAAGGCGGCAACAATTTGGTGCCCCACCACCAAGCATAGACCGTATGAAGACTTTGCCCTACGAAGCAGCACAGCCTGCCTGGCTAATTTGTATTTTTGTAGAGGTTCCTCACATAAATGCCATACATTTCATTGCAGGATGGAAGGTTCTGGAGTCAATGCGGAAAGTCACCCTGTTCTATCAGGCTTTGGCATGTTGCTGAATTGGTGTATCAGTACTGAGCATAGTGGCACTATATATTTTGGTATATATATATATATATATCTATTTTTGGGACTTGCTTTTCATTCAGGCGATCCAAGTAGCAGGAAAAGTCAGAAGACTGAAGAAAAGGAATCAGCCGCACAAGAGCCTATCATCATTGAGGACGGGCCAGCTGAGGCAATGGATTGCTACTACACAGGTGGCTGGTCACAATGGCGTGATGATGCCACTGAAGCGGATTGGGATCGCTGGGACTGGCCACCTGCCAATTGGCGTCCCTCCAGTCATCACAGATCGTTTTGGGACAGTACTAGTAAGTATCATGCCTTTTGCAACTACGAATGGGATGAGAATGCTTACAGAACTCCCCCGAAGCCTTCAAGGGGCTGGGGCTCACCTGCTCCTACAGTAAGCACTATGTCAAGAAGTGGCAGCACAATGTCACTTGATGGTCGGAAGTGGCAGAGATGGCCTCTGAGTTCAGGCGCTGTAACACGGGACAAGTGGCATACCAACCATGGAGACAGGAAACGCCAATGACTTCAGAAAGGTCAACTCGTGCAGATCATCCATTGAAGCAGCTTGAAGATGCACGCCTGGCTTTTGAGAAAGCAAAGGTGGCTTTGCAGCTTGCCCGACTCCAATCCACTGACAACCTTGAACAACACCTCGAGGAAACCAATGAGACAAAGGAAGCAAAGATGATCGAAGAGCAGAAGAAGGCAGCAGAGGAAGAACTTCAACAGCTCCAGGATGCAGAGAAGGCAGCAAAGGAGGCAGAGGCAGCAAGGA